GAGGTAAGAANTGAAGAGACGCAGAGCACAGAAGTGCCTGGCACCCCCCAACTACATTTTCACCAAGGTCTCCTTGATTTATCACTTTATGCCTTCTCGCTATCCTTCGGCATGATCTCATCATCTTGGTGTACCCGGATGAGGTTGTTAGAACGTTGCACTCTTTTGTATGAAATGGGTTGGTCTCTATATTTAGATTCTTAGAAAAGAGATTGCAGGTGATTTTTTTTTTGCAACTCCATTACATGATGCAATTTTGGACTATCTGGAAATGACTAGTAGAATACCACTTACTGGCGTTTAATGTACCAAATAGCTTCAACATACCCTGATTCAATATACCCTGAGTGCTAGGTGCCGCGGTGATGTGGAGTATTTCGTTGTCATAATTTGCATGTGAAATCTGATAGCGTGAGTGTACACTCAATGTCAGCCCATTGCTACAGCGGCCCTCCAGTTGCAAAAATTGAAATGTTGAAAGGATATGAACGAGTAGATGGTAGTAGGTAGTAGATGGCGCGATGCTATGTTCGCTACTATTTGATTGTTTTGTTCATGCGAATTCCTGATAAGAAAGAATTTCTGATGCTTTTAGCAGATGGAGCGAGCTATTGTTGTTATACAATGGTGAGGCTCCTTCCCACCGTTTTTGACTGTCATCCGATCGAAGCTATCGACAGCCGCCCTTCGCAGTAAATGCTGTTTTTGCAGTTTATAATGGCATGAGAATTTCTAGTTTCATCCTTTATTTCGCTCCTTCGTTTATGTCAGTCACGAAAATTGTACCTAAGGTCGCATATGTGAGAAAGGGACGGGTATTCATTCTCTCGCTGCATTTCTACAGTATACTCGGGATACTCACCTGTTACAGTAGGTTTCAGTTGAAGTCAGGTGAGTGTTGTGCAGAGAAACAGAGGTTTTGTAATGTAAGCAGACACGCAGAGAGGACCGTTGCATAGTGTGTCATTCAGTTCGTGTTATGTTGGGTACTTGAAGTTCCGAGAACTGGGAAGTTCATTGGCCAACACGTAATGCATTTAGTGCGGAACTTTTTAATATGACTGTGTCTGTACTATGTCAATTTGGAATCCAGTTCTTGTACTGAAGTGCTACTTCCGCCACATTTTTCCTCAACCTCTTCAGACTCACTTCTTCCAACCAACACTGTACCGGTCCAGGTGTCCCCCAATTGTTGCTGGAAATTACCAGTCAATTTTCGATCACGCGCTCGTTTTCGCATGCACCTAACAGCTGTAGGATGGGGCATGCACGCATTAAACTAAACTGTCAGCAAATTGGTTTTTCCGGGAATCGGAAAATTGCTTATTATTGATACGATTTTTCTCGTCATTGGTCAGTTAGGTTATGGTGTATAATAGTTATGTCCTTTTTGAAGTTTTTTTTTTGTGGTATTTTTTTTCAAACTGCAGTTATTTGGTCAATTGAATAACTTATGCATTATTGATATTCTTTTTTGGAGAGTGAATTGGAATTTGAATTCGTTCTGTGCTTTATTATTTTTGTCAAGTCACGCGAAAGGGGCGGAGTAGCGATAATGCGTTCGGACTAATTCGATGTATATAATGGGCAAGGGAAAGCATTTTGTGGTTCTGGAACGGTTCTGTGGTCATCAACAGTAATCGGGAATATCTGGGCATGGTTGCTCGGGAGAACATAGAGGTATATCAGAGAGAGGAAGTATAGAAGTAATCACTGGGAATGACCTGTAGTTCTTACAGGGTGGAGATATTGACAAGTAGCGCGACCACCATATGCAAAGGTTAAGTTGACTATCATCTTGGCCTACGTGGCAAGCCTTCTTTCCATCAGGATTTCGTCTACTGGTAAGAATTTTGTCTGGAAAAATGAATACGCTATGAAAATATGCATTGGTAAACTTCTAAGATCGTTTTTGAAGAGCGCATGCACCATCGATTGGCTTCAGGATTCAAATTAAGTTTTGAAGGCGTGGATCATTCTCGAATGGAATTGATCAGCGCTCGGAGCGCGTTTCGTTAAGTCTCCATTTCTGCCAAGCATAAGCGCAAACTTATGACCATTGCTTTAGAATCGAAAATAGCATTGCTCTTCTTCCCTCATGATCTCACGTTAATGTGAGCACATGAATTTATGACAGATTTTATCTATTCTGCTTAGTCTCTATGCCGATTGTCTTATTTGCTCGTCCGATCTTCCTCTCATGGAAACCAGTTACTTTACAACTCCCAAGCAGATGAAATATCTGGCGATTCGGCGGTAGACGCTTGTTTATGCTTAGCTTTTCGGAAGATCTCAGTCACAGTAAATGTTTTCGAAGCTAGCAAAGAAGCATTAATCATTGTCAAAGTCTAGGCTTCTCTCCGGACATGGGAGTGCCATTTCAGTAGTTTGTCTGCTATCCTTTTCCGGAAACTAACACATCGTAAGAGACTCTACATGTGTGTTAATGAGCTGGAGACCTATCAGAAATACTGTTTAGGGGAGCGAAACCCTAAGTTCAGACTTACAGCTGTCCAATATTTAATTCATGTAAAGGAACTTGTTATGAATTGCATGTGTTGAAGCTAATATATGGACAGTTCTCAAAACTTGAATGAGATTTCATTGCAGAAGGAACTGATCCCGTCTCATTTGTTGTCTTAATTTTTTTTCATTTCCTGTGAGATGTCGACTTTGTCTCTCCTGGTGAGGAAGTCAGGTGGGAGTGGGATTTGCTTCGAAGTATGAATCACCAGTAACTATAATCCAAAATTTTATGTGCCTGTGCATCGGACTTCCTTTTTTTGTGTTCCGATGTTTTGAGTTTCTCGCAGTGGTCTTACCTACTGACGCCTTGATAGTATACCAAGTCTGAAGAACATTCAATTAGAACCCTTGTGGTTATGAGAGCTTCGAAGGTGTCCTTTGGTACTAAGTAGGATGTTCTTATATTGATGGTACTTCTTATGATCTGGATTGATGGGGAAAGTCATAGTGAAGACTCCTTGGTAAAACTTGTATGTGTGTGTGTGAAAGACGTTTGCTCATATCGGATATGTGTGATAAGTGGAACGACTCTAGTCCTACGATATCCATGGGTGTGCGATTCCATGTCAGAGAAGTGCTTGATTTAAATCATAAACTTTTCTATAGTGGCGTTGCTCAGTGAAAGTCGAAGGTGGTCATGAAGGAGCTTACTAATCGAGGGTTGTCTATCGACTGATCATGTGTTTGATGGCGGGTTTTGTTTCTAAAGCAAGTCTTGCTCCCTGCCCACCACCCTTGCAGTTGGTTAACTTCCTTGCTATTGATCGGTGGTTCAGTGGTTTTCCTGTTACTGTTTCTCCGCTTTCACAAACGGGGTTCTGGTTCTTCGTTACGGTAGCTCACGGCGCTCGAGCAATCATTATTTAAATTGCAAAGAAGACAATTTTCTAGGTATGAACTGTGTCTGGTCTTTGGTTGAACATTGCTTTGTTGTAGTATCTCCTGCGGGACTTTGTTCCAGTTTAATTAGAATTAGTTTCTTACTGATGGAGAATATGTCAAGATGAAAAGGTGTGAGAAGTAACATTATTGTGCTATCTTCATCTATATTCTTTTCCATAGAATTTTTTTACTTCGAAAATTAGGTCCAAGGAGGCATAGGAAAATACAGGGATAGCCCGAAATAGCTTTTTGTTTCAGCTGTACGCAGTCCTCCCCTTTATGGTCATGTAGCCGCCTTTGCTCAGAGTTGCAGATTCGTGAAATAGCGAAATTGGTCGATACACATTTTTTAGTATATATTCCAAATTTCCGCGATTCAGGTTTCCACAATCCCACGGTTCCTCAATCTTGATTGCAATCTCAACGTTCTGCCAAATAGTCACGAAGATGGCTAAGAGGCTCGCAGGGCATCTGGCCCGTAAAGGTAATGGTTGAATAGGGTTGCGGAAGTAGAGAACATATGAACAATGGAAGGGTTTTACATCCGGCGAGATGGACTATGCGAGTCGTTTGCTCAGCGATGGATGTACTAATGGGGACATAGTAAGTAGTCGGAGTACTTGATGTAGTCACTCGCCGGTACCACTGGAGCTCTAGCTGTGGAACTAGCAGTAACGTTGGAAAANAAAACTGTTAAATGTGGTATCAACCAGATGAAATGGTCGTCAAAAATCCATTCTTCGTGCATTCTATTCATTTCACAGCTGAACCAAATATTGAGAATCTTGTCGGTTAGGTACCGATTCTTTTCAGTAACTTCATTTCTGGTTGAGCTTTGGTCGAAACCACTACTTGGGTTTTTTTTGAGTGCAAATTTTAAGTTCTTGTTTTTTAATGAAGGTTTGGTGAATAATATTCAAATCAGGAACAGAGGGATTATTCTCCTGAGATTTTCCATCTGCCAGTTGGGAATGTGCTGAAGTTGCTTACCCAATGCTCGTATTTTGACTACCCTCCTCGTTATGTTTTATTATTAGATTTTTTTATATTTTTATCGTCTTCGCTCCTACTAAATGGCCGTTCCGTTTCAGCAATTAATGGCTTCTAGAATAGTTGCCCAACCAAAGTTCCCATAGTTTTTGGAATAACTTCTCAACCTTCTTCGATCGGTATTTTTTTATAGACCTTTGCAATTTGTGAAGGGAATGTCAGGATGAATGCCGAATAGAGAACTGGAACCCGTAGTTTGAATACTTTCATTTCCCACAATTTTTTTTCTGTTTTCTAGCCGGATTCACTTTTCTGAAAGCATTTTCGGCCGGAAAAGAATCGGGATTTCTTTCGTCGTTCTCATTTTCTATCTTGCCCCGTGTAAAGTTAAGTAGGTATGTTCCCTTTATCGAGTCTGGCCCATTCCTGATGTAAATGTTTTCCACGTCCTGTCTTGGCGAGAATCGCTCGTCAAGCGCCTTCATGGACGCAGTATCGTCGCAGTCGTCACTACCAGTCGAGCAGCCCAGCCCGGTTATTGTTGTTTTGGTCGAGTTTTAGATGTGTTGACTCTCTAGTTTTCCATTCGTCGTCTGTATATCATGATTTTCCATGCTCCATCGTCGCATGCTCTCCTCACCTACACTCGCTTATCAATCCCTGCGGTTGCTGCTGCTGTGGCTGTCTCGGCAGCGTATCTTCTGGCTGTTACCGGTACATCTGCTATAGTTATTCCGCTTCTTATGGAACATGGTGGTCTTCTAGGCTAGGCAAGGGCTCAGAGAACGCATTTCCTAACTTGACTCGTTCTTCTTCATTTCAGGCCTTTTGACGGTCCTAAGAAATGTTTAGGAACTATTTCAATCGAACAACATTTTGTGTTTTTAGTGAATTTTCTACGTGCTTTTGCTAGCTTTTCAGTGGGTTGTCTATTGGGTATGGAAGTTTGTTTTTATTGGGTCCTCCTTGGTGTGTATTCGAACACTCGTGAATAGCTGACTATCTAACACTTTACAACTATCTTGTCTTTGTCAACTCGCTTCTCTCATCGAGCTCCATATTTTACTTATCGGCTTTCGATCGGAAACATCCTGACAATCAAAGGGAATGTGGCCAAGCCACATAGTCCGTCTCATTGTTTCCCTTGTAGTTCCTTGTGGTCTTGGAAATGATCAGTTCTATATCTAATTGCATTTGAATAGCCCCTAGGTTATTTCTTCCGTTGAAATGAGTACCTATCAGGATTTTCGCCGTGTCGTGTGTCAGTGCAACTGAAGGCATTGCGCTGGGTGTGGCCCGCGACGTCGCGCTTACTGGTATGCGAATTGTCAAGTTCATGAGTTGGTGATCGACATGTTCTCCCTCATCATCAGACTGGGGAAGCGTTTCGAATAGCACGACGACAAATTAATCTCTTAATTAAAGTTACTTTCTTTACACTCAAAACAAGCATGTAGGCTTTTCTTATCAGTGTCCAAAAATTCTTTATTCAAAACCATTATCACCCTTCTTACCATTAGTGCATGTTGACACCCATATTTGCTTTTGAACTGTATTTGTGGCCTACAGCGTTTTTCATAATGCCTGAAAGTGGTGGCGGTGGTGCAGGAAGAACTTGTAACGTTGCTATTACATGTACATTATAGAAATCAAATTCCGAGTCGATATCTGCAAAATTCAACCAGGCTTTCCATCTCTCCATCCTTGGGGTCGCATGAACAACAAAAATTAAATAAACCTTAGTTTATACTTTGGCTGGACTCGTAAGCCATTAAAAAAGTAGAAACTTTACCCAACAGTACGCAGCCCATCATAAAAACCATTGAAATTTACAAAATCAGTTCATTTGCGTCCACTCTCACTTTGCAAAAATCTAACCAATGACCAGCGATATCGAAGTGACACTCGCTGTTCAATGATAGGTTCATTCCTGAAGACTATACCCGAACATACTCCAATAGCTCGTTCGGGATGCGGTAGGAAGAGCCATCGCCTATTCTGATGAACTCGCCTACCGCTTGGAGTGTGCTTTGTTGTGCGCAGCACTGAATATATCTCGTTCTGTAAATTTTCTAGAAAGTCAGTGAATCGCTCTCTTTAAATATCGGGGGAACGTTCTACAGTATCATTGTGAGCAACCGTGATGAAGTCTACTAGATCGAGAACCTCTCAGGAAAATCCTTACAAAATGCGAATTAAGTCTTCGTCCTTCGCTGATAATGAACCTCTCTTGATGTCACGCATGGAGGTGCAGTAAGTTCTTTCTGCAAGATGACGTGGTCGCCTACCTTTATAATGGTCTTTTCTTTTTTCCTCAAATTTTCTATACATGCAAGAGTCTATAGTGGCAGGTCATTCAAGAACTTGTCTCCTCTTCCTTGCCTGACTAGGGCACGAAGTTTACAGTTAAAGTTTTAGTGTTTTCTGTATATTGATTTTTATTTTGACTGACTATTGTATGGCTCCGTTGCTGACTAAAGTATGCCTTTTTATTTTGAGATTCTGAATTTTTTTTGAGAAACCGAATTTATGTACAAAATGGTATTGAAGTCAGCCAACAGTGTACATACAATCATCATTTTATATACATACCAGTTGCTCACGCACGCATGCTAACGCGTGCACCTTATACTCGCTATCGTTTACCGACGATTTATTTGAGTACCAACAATAGTGTCGGTTGACTTCCCATNTCATAACCGTTTCCTCAACGCGCTCACGTGATATTTACATCTACATTGTGCCTACGTGACTTTCGGAAGGACAAACAGACATACAAACATACAAACAAAAGGACGTTTGCGGATTATATATAGTAAGATAGGTTCGTTCATGGGCGGAGGAGGTATAGTGGCAAGTGGAACACTACTGCACACGTAAAGTCAGAGCTCGAATCTCGGGTCGATATCCGCCTAGGTCAACCGTGCCTTCCATTCATTCGGGGTAGGCTAATAGGTAAGAACCCGTCTGGAAGAAAGCACGGACTTGGTTGAATGGGCCACATGCACGTTTGATACGCCACTGCGATTTGAATGGTAGCCAAAAACTTTATTTTTTATCCTCTATGTGTTTTGTTATACCCTAAAATTCGGCATTTCAAACAACCGAGATCTATCCTAAACTTTCATTTTACTTCGAAAGCGTTACCTGATATTAACCAAAAGAGTATGTCAATTGACTAGTTGTGAATATATTGAATAATGAATATCTGGAAGGTTAAGTTTAGGGCTCGAGCTAATTTCTTGAAACGAAGTATGTAGACCTCAAAGTTCTTCGTACGTCTCATTCGGTGGAAGGAGTTGAATATTTGGCCATGTGTTAATAGGTCCAATGTGTTAAAGGTCTAATTATGGAGGGTGCTAGTGAAAATTAGGTATGTTGCGTAGTACGCATTCAAGAATTTTCGATACTCAAAGCGTTCATCTTTCATTCAGAACTCTTGAAATATGTCGGTACATGTCGTTCCAGTACATATGTTTTGTAGAGTCCAGCGAGTCCTGGGCCGTTTTACCCGCTTTCTCAGAAGCGAGGTAAGCAGTGTCTGCAAAGAAGTAGAGCTCTTGATTGATCGGGATCGGGGTAAAGTTCTGCTTTTGAGATCATTGTTCTATTGAACTTGCCCTTTATCTGCTTTTACTCAGTTTTTTGTAATATGGGCTAGTTCAGAAGTTTAAATGCGCTGTCTCAACGCGTTCAATGTTCCACGTGCAAGCTTAATGTCAAATTGTTTGGGTTAACCTCGAAAGCGGTAGAAAGGATAGAAGAAAAACTTCGTAGCAGTAGTGGAAAGTGTCTAGGGGTTCGAATGATTGGGCGGACGAGCTGAACATTTGAAAAACAGGCTCGATTGGAGGAAAGTCTTTTGAAGTAATGTTGCTCTGAACTTAGCCTAAGGGACTAAGGGCCGGCTCATAAGGCGATTATTTCGGCTCATCCACTTCTATGGAAAGGCGCGAACTGGTCAGGGCCTTTTTCGATGGCTCACCTCCACTCAAAGTTGGTGAGGATTGTGCATAAGTGTGCTCAGTAGTAGCGAATTCCTGGATTTGTTGGGGTCGAACTATCCGCCCATTATTTAAGGAAAGAGATACGTATCTCATTTATTAATCGATTTCCAGTGATTCACTGAGCAGTAATCATTGGCAGTTTCTCTTATGTCAGAAACGTTTTTTATGCTCATTGGTCACGAATACTATTACGTTTTTTGGGCAGTTTTCTAGCTTTATAATTTCCTTACCTTAATGGAAAACATTTTTATTAATATGAAGGCGCCATTGGGGTTGATGTTCGAGGACAACAGAAACAGGTGTCGTTGTCATTTTTTCAGCGTTCAGTGGAAGAGTTGCTCGTCGAGTACTGACAAAAGCCTTGGGAAATAGAAGTTTATGCTTAGGATTGCTTGGAAAAAGAGCAGTCGTTGGGATCCGAAGGCTTTCGCGTGAAAAAGGATTCTGTTTGATCCTCTAAGACTTTAAGACCCTACAAATGAGCTGCAACAATCACTAATGCTGCTTATAAAGGTCAAACTATAAGCTCGTCTGTTTTCATTAATCTCATTTTGGGATGCGCCCTTGCATTCAATCTATACTTTCAATCCTAGTGGCGATTCGAATGGCCTATACAATGAAACCGATGAACAGGACAGTGCTCCACCATCAGGCAAATTTTACTAATTAACCGAGAACACGGAGAGGAGAGGTTTGATTAGCACGGGCGAGTATCAACTCAGGATTAGATCTTCAGACAATATATATCATATCATATCATATATACATATCTTTTGCCTAATAGTGCGTCATTCGCCACTACACCACCTCCCCATGTAAAGATGAGTATTGTTTTTATTCATGATACACTCTTTGGAGATATCATAACTAGACCAAATATGACTAGAAATGAAGAATTATAAGAGGTTGTAAACAGAAAAGGAAAGCACTCGAATCGCAAATAATGAATCTATTATGTACTGTTGACCCTGAGCTAGGCAGTCGGGAAGAAAGGAAAAAGAATTTGTTGCCTGGCTAAAGTTGACTGCACTTGTTGAAGTTTGATCGCAAAAATCTAAGAATCAGGTCTCAGTCTCAAGCGTGCCCAGAACCTAGAGAATGTTTCATGAAAGCCGCGTGATTGCCTTTCTTCAATGCTCAGGTCGCGATCACGGGAGCCGATGAGAAAAGAATGGCAAAGTTGAAGTGATGCAGAAAATGCTGAATGCGCGTTGAAAACGTTTACGGTAGGATGAGAGGCTATCAAACACGGCGACATCTAAAGTGATCGACAGCAACTGGCAAAGTCGGACCAAGAATATTTTCGAGAACGGATGAGTAGTCGCGGCTCCATGGTTGGGCAGAAAGAAAGAATAGAGAGAAGACGTTCATTGTTGTCTCAGATGGAGTAGGAGAAGAAGGTGTTTGGTTGTTGCAACATGGGGGGAATAGGCATTCGATTCCTGGAAAGGCAAATCCTAAAGAAAGACCTGATTCACTTGAATCCCTATTGTAAGGCAATTCAGTGATGACATGTCTCGAGCTCGATTTCGTGAAAGTTAAGTGAGACATGAAAACTTAGCTGTACGGTTTTAGACTAGTTACGATTTTCTTCATTAAAATCGTAATAAATTTGTAAAAAACTCGGTACGCACCCTGTTGATCAACAAGAAAGTAGGCATCACTTAACGTTGACTCTCCGGGCCTGTAGTTATTAGGGTTATCTCTTCAACGCTTTGCCTTCTTAGCCGTCATGAAGTAGCGATTGTAGAGGTGACGATGGA